GGGCTCCAATTGTGACCATTAAACAAACCTCCTTGTGTACTCAGCCTGTATTTTTATGCCTGGCTGGAGGGTATAATGGCCCCATAGTCACCGTGGCCTGCTGAGTGGTTGCTGGGAGAGTGGATTAGCTATGCCTGTTTTGGTTTTGAATGAATATACCCCTTGGCAAGCCATGTGGCCAAAATAGTTTCTTGGGTGTCACATGTACAGAACTGGTAGCTCGCCCTTACAAACACCCTGTGTTCCTGTGGGGCCAAGCTTCAGTTATCACAAATGCACAGTTGCAGGGACAGCACTCACAGCAGCTTTGCCTGTGGCCTTTCTTACTTCCCTTTCTCCTTCTATCTTTTTTTTTTTTTGAAATCCTTACTCCAGGATATGTTTCCATTGCTTTTTATAGAGAGAGTGGAAGGGAGGGGGGAAAGACAGAGAGAAGAAAGATGGATGGGTTGACTCTCACACGCGCCTTCAACGGAGATCCTGAAAAACGTGCCCTTGACCAGAATCTAACCCAGGACCGTTTAGTCCGCAGGCTGTCGCTCTATCCACTGAGCCAAACCGGTTAGGGCTCTTCCTGTCTTTTGAAAGAAAAGAAGAACATAGAAACACGTCCACAAGGCTTTATATTGTTCTATTCCTATCACATTTCCAGGAAAGTCAAGCCAACCACTTTACATGAATCAATGAGACCAGCTGGCCCTGAATTTTGTGCTGAAATATTACTCCTGAGGCAAGTATTTCCTGAAGCCTCTCTGCCCCCGTGACTGCCCTGGAGAACAAATCTGGGGCCAGCGGACGTGCAGGGCTAACATGCAGGGGGGTGGGGGAGGACACGTGGGAGGGATGGAGTCAGTCCCACTCAGGCCTGGGTCCACATAACCTGTGGGGAGGGCGTCTCCAGCGTGGTCTGGTCAGTCTAGTCCTTGAAGAAGAGAATATGCTTGAATCAGATCCCTCTCAAGACAAAACACTGCTGGCAAATTAGAGAGAAGGAAAGTTAAAAATGATCGAGGGAAGTTAATAGCCAACATCCTTAAAATGTCTACAGTTCCAATTCTAGTAAAGAAGTACTCCAGTGCCTCTGCTGCTAGATGCTGATTTTCAGAGATATTGACAGGTGGTGGGTGTAGATTTCTTTTCTTTAGCTAAAAGAGGGTATATAATTAACTCCATATGTACTATACTGATTATACCAAATAAGCAAGAAAACTAATTATATATTTACTAGGGGCCCAGTGCACCAATTCATGCACCTTGAAAGGAACCGTGGGCCAAGAGGCTGTGGTGGGCAGAGGGGTGGGTCTTGGCCCATCCTCCATGCCTCCACCAGGCTCCTCCTGCTGCAGCCCCCAGTCCCCTCTCTACCCACAGACCCGCTCCTGCGCTGCTGCTCCCACATGCTGACGCTGACGGCACTGGCCCTCCTCACACCCACTGAACGGTGTGGAGTGATTGGGGCTGGCACCAGCAGCGGGTGTGAGCGGCGGCTGCCAGCCCTGATTGCTCCTTAGGAGCAGGAGGAGGTGGAGAAGCCCTGAGGGGCAATCAGGGTCGGCAGCCACGGTTTGCACCCGGTGACGGCACTGGGCGATTGGGGCCGGCTCCAGGCACCGGCAGCTGGTGAGAGCACCTGGTGGGACTCCAGCGTGTGGGAGCAAAGAATTTTCAGTAACCACCAGAGGCTTGCCCCGATGACAGATGACAGTGACTGGCGCCCCGTCTTGGTCTGGCGCCCCGCTCACCTGCTCCACCATCTCGCCACGGTCGATGCCTGACATATTCCACACTCTGCTGCCTGCTGCTGATGCCTGCCATGTTCCCCACTCATCCCCTGGTAGTCAGGGCACAACACAGCAACCGGTTGTTCTGTTGTTCTGCTGTTCAGTCTATTTGCATATTAGGGTTTTATATATACTGGTATAGATGTACAAGGAACTATGTCAATTCTCAGTGGGCATGAAAAGGATCAGATTTTATTTACTTGTTATTATTAAGGGGAAAAGGGGTGGAAATTTAATTTCATCTTTATTTTCCTTTTCCTATATGCATCTGTTCTTTTCTTGACTTCACTCCAGTTTTATGCAGTTGTTTTCTGTTTTTTAAACTTTGTTATTTTTGTTCTCTCACTTCTTAAAGCCAGTCAACACCGTGGCTCTGTGATTTTTGCTTTGCTATTTCATCTCTTTAAGAGATGAGGTGATGCAGGGTGGAGCATTTATTAAGAAATCTGCAGATTCCCACTGATGTTTGCCTTCTCTTCGGCACTGTCATTCGCATATAAAAATGTACCCATCCACCTGTACAAACACAAGCACTCAAAGGAATTTTCTACTTCACTAAATGATTTGAGTAACTTTTTTTAATTCAAGCAAAGTACTTTTGTGATGAAAACACACATCCCTGTTTATCCAGCAGTCACAGGAAAATAAAAGCAATCTTTGGCCAAAGTACAAATCCTTCTGCATAAAATCATTTAAGGTTCTACATCAAGTCCTCTGCAACAGGTGTTTTTTCCCTCTGTTCTGGCTGCATTTTAGTGCAAATATATTTGTCTCTTTTAGATACTAAAGTTTTCAACTGAAACAGCCCTCCCCCCACCCCTCTTTTTCAAAATTGTTGTGCCTATCTGAACTTGCAGAGCAGCAGTTTAAAAAAAGCCACATCTGTCATGCAGACGCCTTAGAAGGCTCATAGAGTTCATTGATGCTTTTTGTTAGAAGGGCCATAGATATTTAAGAGACTGCCAAAATGTTAAATTAAACTTCTCCCAGGTTGTCAAGCGCATAGTTTTCTCGTATAACTAGATTCCTTTTACCCTTGTTAGTTTAGAATTAGTTGTTTGAGATAACTGAAGACTGTATCTGTTTGAGGCTTACGGGACTACATCTGGAATGTGAGAGTAAGGCAGCATAACCCAATTTTTTGGATTAAGCTCAGCACAGGGCAAGCAACACTTCTTTCAAACTCTGAAAGAGAGAAAACCATTCACCTAGTTTTTCCCCAATAATGCCATAAAACTGGTTTTAAATCTACCTATTTTCCTCTATGTTTGAAGGCTTCTCCTCACAGCAGCAAAGGCCAAAAGAACTCTCTGCAGTGATGGAGATGTCCGGTGTCTGTGCCATTTGGTGTGTTAGCCACATGTGGCTATCAAGCACTTGACATATGGCCAAGTGCGATTGATGGACTGAATCTTTATTTCATTTAAAGGATTAGTGGTTGCCACTTGGATAATAAACCCTTACAGTTGTTTACCTCTGGCTAGTTAAGAAAATATTGTTCTCCTCAGAAACAGTTTTTTTTAAGAGATTATAATTCTTGTCCCAAAATGAAGAAGAGTAATCTAAGCAGTTATTACAATGTAACAAATTTTACCTTAATCTTTCTATAGTTTAATAACTTGAGGTAAACTTAAAAACTTCTTATGCCTAAGTATGATCATAAGGAATAGAAAAATTTTAAGCGAACATATACTCCATAGAATATAACTTGTGATACAAGTGATTTAATCATTATTATGTTATAGTAGAATGATGTATCTTTATATTCCTGATATTTATTATAAACAAAAATTAATCTGTCTAGCTAACCTGCTATTATTTATTTTACATATGACTTTTAGAAGTTGCTAGCTTAGCAGTTTGGTAAGACCTGCATATATTTCATACTCCATCAATTCTTTATGAATGAACAGATTTTTCCTACTATTGCTCTTATCATTTGAAATGAGTTTCTTTTTTTAAAGACCTACTAGGCATTATCAATCTCACTAATTAAATTCAGCCGTTGTCCTATAGAGAAATCATTTATTACATCGGAAAAGCTACTGTCTTTCACCACTGAGTATAATGTTCATGTTGTTGATTTTTCATATATGGTTTTTATCATATGTAAGTAGTTTTCTTTAGTTCTTATCTTGTTGAGTGTTTTTATCATGAAAGGCTTTGAATTTTGTCAAAGTTCTTTCTGCATCAATTGAGATGATCATGTGGGTTTTTTTTCACTTCGTTTTGTTGAGGTGGTGTATTATGTTGACCAATTTTGCACTGATGTTCATAAAGGATGTTGGTATATAGTTTTCTTTGCTTTTTTATTTAAAAATGGTATTAAAGTATAATTGGCATACAACATTATATTAGTTTAAGTGTAAAACCAAGTGGTGTGACATTTATATACCGTATGATATGATCATCTCAACAATCTAGTTAACATAGCAGGTAAAAACCTCCAGTTACAAATAAGCTGCAGGGATGTAGTGTGCAGCACAGGACTGTAGTCAATAACATGGTTTTCTTTGACATGAAGATTACACTGGTCTCATTGAATTAGTTAGGAAGTAGTTCCTACTCTTCAATATTTTGGAAAGGTTTGAGAAGATTTGGTATCAGTTCTTTCAAAGTTTGGTAGAATTCACCCATGAAGCCATCATGTCCAGGGCTTTTTGTTGTTGGGAGATTTTGATTACTGATTCAATCTCCTGACTAGTTATAGGTTGATTCATTTATTCTTTTTTTTTCATGATGTTTTTTTTAAAAAATATATTTTTTATTATTTTTTTTCACAAATATTTTATTTTATTTATTTTTTAAAATATATTTTATTTATTTTTTACAGAGAAGAAGGGAGAGGGATAGAGAGCTAGAAACATCGATGAGAGAGAAACATTGATCGGTTGCCTCCTGCACACCCCCTACTGGGGATGTGCCCGCAACCAAGGTACATGCCCTTGACTGGAATCAAACCTGGGACCCTTCAGTCCGTAGGCTGACACTCTATCCACTGAGCCAACCCGGTTAGGGCTATATATCTTTTTATTGATTTCAGAGAGGAAGGAGAGGGAGTGAGAGGTAGAAACATCAATTATGAGAAAAAATCATTGATTGGCTGCTTCCTGCACACCCCACACTGGTAATGAAACTCATACTAGTATGTGCCCTAATTGGGAATCGAACCATGACCTTCTGATTCACAGGTTGAAGCTCAACCACTTAGCCACACTGGCCAGGCATGACTTTTTTCTTCATAGATTTTGTGATTCTAGAAATTTGTTCAATTTGTTCATTTCATCTAGGTTATCCAATTTCTTGGCATACAATCTTATATTCCTTTTTATTTCTGTAGAATCCATTGTAATGTCTCTGCTCTCATTTAAGATTTTAGTAATTTGAGTCTTCTCCTTTTTTCTTTGTCCATTAAGCTATATAGTTTTGTCATTTTTTTTTTAGCTTTTCTAAGAACTAACCTCTGGTTTCATTTATTTTCTCTATTCCCTTTACTATTCTCTATTTTACCTTTCTCTTTTGTAATTTTATTATGTCTTTCCTTTTGGTAGCTTTAGGTTTAGTTCTTTTCTGAGTTTCATAGGTTGTAAAGTTTGATTGTTTGAGTTTTTTTCTTGTTTTTTAAGGTAAATGTTTATAGCTATAAATTTTTCCCAGCACCATTTTCACTGTGTCTCATAAGTTGTTTTTTTGCTTCACTAGTCTCTAAATATTTTTTCCTTGTGCCTTTTTTTAATCCATTAGTTGGTTAAAAGTATATTGCATAATTTCCACAAAATATATATTTTTTTAACTTTTGTTTTTTATTTCTACTTTATCCCATTATGGACAGAAAAGATACTTTGCATCATATCTATATTTTAAAACTATTGAAACTTATTTTGTTGTGGCATAATATATGACCTATACCTCCAAATATAGTATGTAATATTTATGTTATAATACTACATTATAAACTATCCATTAACAATTCTCTGAGAAATCAAAAGCATTTTGAATCCACGTTTCTCCTTATGTTGCCACATTCTCTTATGGGAAAAAAGAGTTCTGATTCCTCAGACGGGTATGTTTTTGCAAATATAGCAAGATGAGTTACTGAGTATTTAATGTGACAGAATAACACTGAGAATTTCAATGTTATTTCTTGTTTTCTTGGCTGTAGAACACCTGGAAGAAAAGAAAATGGTGCAGTTGGCCTGTTGTTGGAGCATTTTGGATAGCATTTCTTATTAGAAGTTTATGGTGACTATAATCAAATAGTACTGTATTATTCAAAACTCCCTAACTCAAGGAACTTATAGATGCTATCTAACGTGTTTGTTGAATTACTCTGTCAATTAATGGGTCCTTTTTGTAATGTAACACAATTGAATGAGATGTTTGAGAAGGATGGATGACAAGAAACACCTGTGAAATCACAAAACAGTGAGCTGACTCAATCAGTTCAGGTAGAAGATACATTTTATGAGCCCAGGACACAGCTTTAATTATTGTCTTAAGATTTTTCCTGTACATGCCTGTCTCTATGTTGAGTCTATGATCTCAAGACACAGATGTTATCCTATTCTTCTCTTTTCCGTCTGGCAAACAGTAAATACCAAATTTATGTCTCCACGAATAAAGGAGTGAAAAGATGGACGTTTGGTATATAGTGTGCACAGAATTTCTTATTTATATAGAGCACCTAGACATAGCAGACATGTTTTGAGTAAGACCATTAGGCCATAAAACAGTGATGGTCTTTGTAAATGATGTGGGGACTAAAGCTCCAGGAAAGCAGCCATTGATGTACCTTCTGCCAAGTGCCGCAGGTCAGCATCAATACTTGCCGTATGACGAGCACACCATACGAAGGGAAGTGGTATGGAAGGACCACCTATTTGTGCACTGCACATAGAACAATCACTCTGAGGTATCTATCACTTAATGCGAAGCCACTGTAACTGTTTATGTCTTCATGTAAACCTTAGCTTAGAACTGTCACTCTCTCCAAAATGTGTGGTCCAAGATAAAGTGCTTCTTCAGATTCAGTTTTTCAAGGCATAAAAAGGAAAATATGTCCACAGACAAAATAAAAGATTCATTACCCGCTTGTTGAAGTTTTATGGAGAGAATGTTTACAGTAGAAACATGATTGCGAAGTTTAGGAAACAGGGCAGAGGCCAGAGATAAGATTTCCTCTGGTACCGTGTGTCTAGAAGGGCCGTTCTTGGAAACTTGGAGGACGCGGAATGAGAGAGTTACAGGGTTGTGTGGACATGGATGCTTAGAAATACTGTGAGAATAGAAAACATGTGTGTGCTATGAGGAATTAACCTCAAAAGCAGGCTTCTAAAAATTAACATTTTTTCTGGAAGTTTGGAAAAGTAGGTAGTGTAGATAACTGATGATAACTGTAAAAGTTGTTTTGAAAATGTTATTCCACAACATTGAATAAATAATTAGAACAATTTCCTCTCCTTTTTAGTTCTTTTAATTCCCTGGAGTTGTGTGGAAATAATTTTTTTCTTTTCTTTTTTTAAATATATGTTTTATGGTTGATAGTATTACAGATAGCTCCCATTTCCCCCCCAATAATTTCTTTTCCATCCTCCTGTGTCCCCACCTCTCAGGCACACTGAGGTCTGTGTGCCTTCCAAGGGATGTGAGGACCCAATGCCCAAGATAGGAGCCTGGAGTTCAGCACAAGTAGAAATTATTTTTTTTAAGTAAGTGGAATTGCTTCCTGCCATTGTGGGAAGACAGCAAGAGAACTGGATGGGTGGCTGCAGCCCCGGACCCTAGGTGAAACCCTCCCACAGCTGTGCAGTGGGCCCTCGGTGGCGTGGGATCTGCCGCTCTCCCCACACAGAATCTGTTCTCCTGCCAAAGCCCAGCACCTCAGCTTTTCATTGGGAACTCCTCCTACCTGCTTCCAGTCCAAACAGTCCTGAGGGCTGACCCCACGTCTAACCAAATCTACGGTCCATCTTCTGGGTGCTCTGATGGGATCAAGAATGAGGAAGTGACTTAATCCAGGTCAAGGCATTTAAAGCTGTGACTTTTCATGGTACCTTAGGGAAGAAGAAACTTTTCCCATTAAAAGGGATGGTGAGTCGGGCCGGCGTGGCTCAGTGGTTGAGTGTCGACCTATGAACCAGGAGGTCAAGTTTCGATTCCCCATCAGGGCACATGCCCTGGTTGCAGGCTTGATCCCCAGTAGGGGTCGTGTAGGAGGCAGGCAATCAATGATTCTCTCTCAACATTGATGTTTCTATCTATATATACACACACACACACACACACACACACACACATATATATATATATATATATATATATATATTTAAAAATAGTAACTTATTTAAATAAATAAATAAATAAATAAAGTGGATGGTGGGCGGGGTCAGCCTGGCACTGTTGACGGCACCTGATAAGGGAGTGAGACGGTGCCTGTGAATGGAGCAGCCCAAAGACACTTAGCAGGACAAAAGGTTGGAGAGGGCCCAGGTCCCACTGCAAGTGTGAGAACCTGGACCTGCCAGGTCCAAACCCACCCTTTAGCTGGCCTCTTACAAGTGTTAATTTATCCCCACCATTGACCAAATTATTTTAGTTTAGTAAGTGTGCCCAGTCTCTTGCAATCAAAAAGTCCTGGCTGACACATCAGAATCAATAATCCCAAGACTCCCTCTGCATGGTGTCCTTACTGGGCAGGACTTGGCTGGGGAGATACAGACACAGGGTGGGGTCAGATCTTAGGGCAGCTGCCAATCAGCTCTGTCCCTGTTCCTTGTCTGTCCTGGGAGAGAAAAACCTCAGAACAAGGAGAGGAGAACCAGCAGGGGGAGAGGTCCCTGGATGGGTAATTGATCTGCTTGTATTTTCATTATTTTTAGGGTCTATGTTATTAATGTTTATTTTTACTAGGAGATTACCCATGTCCTCTAGGCTTCAATTTTGATGCAATAGGTTTCTGTTATTTTACTTTAATTTTTCCTCTCTTTTTTAGTTGTTTACAAAATTGTTATAATTAATGAGTAAATACTGATACATTATTATGAAATAAAGTCTATATTTTACTCAGGTTCCCACAGTCAAGGTTCAGTTTTAGTACCGGTGCCATTTGCAATCACATGGATGGACCCAGAGGGTATGCTAAGTGAAATAAGTCATACAGAGAAAGACAAATACCATATGATTTTATTTAGATGTCAAATCTAAAAAACAAAATAAAGGAACAAACAAAACAGAACATTTCTCATAGATACAGAGAACATTTTGACCATTGCCAGAGGGGAGGCAGGTTAGAGGGCTGGGTGAAAAAGCTGGAGGGATTAAGAAGCATAAATTGGTATTTACAAAATGGTCACAGGAATGGAGTACAGCATAAGGAAAAAGACAATAGTATTTTAATAACTATGTATGGTATCAGGTGGGTAGTAGACTTATTGGGGCGATCACTTAATCTATAATAATAAAAGTGTAATATGCTAATTAGACTGGACGTCCTTCGAGACGAAGCCGCAGCAGCGGGGGCTGAGCCCCTTGCACGAATTTCATGCATTGGGCCTCTAGTAAGTTATATAAATGTCTCGTCACTGGATTGTACACCTGAAACACAATATTGCACATCAACTGTAATTTAAAAATAAAAAAATTATTTAAGAAAGAAATAAGGAGTTTTGACACTGTGATGATGATAGAAACTTTATTCTGTAGGATGGGGGGAAGCTGTTGGTAATTCTTATGCATAGGAAGTGACAGGATTATGTTTGCTCATTCATTTATCTGGCCCATGGAAGGTAAAGGAAGGACTAAGAAGGAAAGAGGGAGGGAGAGTGAGTGTTGATCATTTGTTGGGCAGAAGCTAACATGCACTACTTCACGGAATTCTCACACCACCCTGGGAGGGAATGGTTATCTCCATCTGAAAGATGAGGAGACTGAATTTTCATTTCTTTGCTTGAACTCACACAGCTAGTAGGTGGTGGGGCCAGAAGTCAGCTCTCTGCTTGTCTGAGGCTCAGGCATTCCTCCAAAAGGAAACTGCTCCCCTAGATTTCATTCCGGGCAGCTACGAAGCTTTTGTCAGTTGAGACCTCAGAGGAAGGGAGCATGGGTAGAAGCACACTGCTGGCCTGGACTGAAGAACAGATTTTTAAAAGGCCGGAGGACAGGCAGGTGGTAGAAGCAGGGCAGTCATTGTTATAAGGATCTGGTGCTGGTTGTACTGTGAAGGGCCAGGCCACCTCCTGCCTCCCCACCTGTTGTCATCCCCAGCTGCTTTCCCAAGTCCCACCCCAAAAAGCAGTTTGGATGAGTATATAAAAGCTCAACCATTAGGTTATGTGCAGATTTTCTTTAAATTGAATGACTAAGCTGTAACCCCAAGCTGCAAGGATTACTTGGATTACTCTATTTTTCCAGGATCTTATGTTTGCATGCTCTTCTGGCCCATCTTGGCCCATTTAGGCCAGTGTTCTGCACTGAGAACTCTGTTAGGATCAGTCTTAGGTATAAATGCCTGTAAAATAGAGGTAATAATTGTCCCTACTTTATCTGGCAAATGGGAGCAGTAGGTGAAGGGCCTAAAACAGGATTTATGTCAAAATGAGCTTAGTATCAGGGGTCTGGATTCCCGTTTTATTTTTTAAAAAAATCTTTGTTGTTGAATGTCTTACTAATGCCCGCCCCCCTCTACACCTCCCGTCACTGATCCCTGCTAGCCTGCCCCTGCCCTGGGTTCTCATTTTAATGCAGAATGGGCAGAGCAACCTAAGGCAAGGAAACGCTCTTCTCTGCTGCCATCTTGTGTGCATCTTGGGAATAACACCGAAGTGGAAGTCACCAGGAAAAGATCTTCTCTGTTGTCATCTAGTGGTCATTTTGGGAATTACATCAGAGAAGCGGTCCCTGCTGTCATCTAGTGTGCATCTTATGAATAACAACTGAGTGGAGGTCACCAGGGAAAGCTCTTTTCTTTCCAAAGGCTTCTGAGCCCATGAGGAATGTATCCGACTTAGGGCTGTGCCACAGATATGATCAGCTGTGCCCTGGAAGCTGCCCACTGGAACGTGGAGTTCTCAAGATGCACCCTGATGCAGAGCTTGGCCCACCATCGACTGCCGTCTCGCCTGGCTCTTACCTATGCATGCCTGTGCCACCCTTCCCTCTTGGCAGAAGTGGTCCTGGGAAAAGGTGGGCGAGGTAAGTCCTGGAGATGATTTCTGGCCCCAGCCAGCTTGCGAGGGACAGAGGGGGTTCCTGAGGAAAGAGGGAGTAGAGACCTGGGGTAAAATCTGCATTGCGGATCCATGCCCAGGTTGCAGGCTCCATCCCCTACTGGAGGCAGCCGACCAATGATTTCTCACATCATTGTTTCTATCCCTCTCCCTTCCTCTCTCTAAAATCAATAAAAAACATTTTTAAAAGAAAAAGATGTTTCTAATAAGCTACTTGCAAATTACATTCAGCACAGTATTCTTTCCTTGAATGGAACTGATGCCCATTCTGCAATGTTTGGTGAAATGGTTCATAACTCTGTAATAACAATGTTTCTTTATCACAAATGCTTTTAGCATGTTTTCACAGACCTTGAATGTATTATGAATGTACTAATAATACTCTTTAAACACTAAACACAACAAATTAACCGTCTCTATTGGCTTATACTATCTATCTGTTTACAGAATGGATCCAATGTATTGGCGTGTACTGGATTTTTTTGTGTGAGAGTACTAGTGTACTATTACTTTTATCTTGGTCTATACTAAAAATGTAATATGCATAGACCAACAGATTTAGTCTGAAATTTCACTTTGGAATCAAAGCCAGAGACTGTTTGCAATTCTATACATATAACATAATACTCTTGGTCAATTCAATGGATTAAAACTTAGAAAATTATTTTCATTGTTGATTTTATGTAGTAAATTGTTCAAACCCATAGCAGAATTGTGTATACATTGGTGATTATAATCCTGCACCTAAGTTTACTAAGCCAAAGTGTTACTGGGAAGACAATGTGACCTTGATTCTTGTCTTCTTGAAGGAAAGATTTCACAAGAGACAAAGTATAGCAAAGTTAAGTAAGACTTTCTTGGCTGAGCAAAAATGTACTTAGGGCAGTGAAACAGGGAAGGGCATAGAAGAAGCAACAGGAGAGCCTAGGCTGGGCTGCTTTAGCTCACTGAGAAGTCAGAGAAGAGGGGGCCTTGGAGACAGGTTCAGGGGGTGAGCCCAGGACAAGTTGCCACTGCATATTGCTCCCCTGGTTGCAAGTCTCCTGGGGAGGAAGGGAATGGTGTGGGTGTGCTCCTCTGGGGGAGGGAGTACCTAGATCCTTCATTCTGAGTGTATTTCTCTCTCTCTTGCAGGTGGAAGTCTTAGGAGAGGTCTCAGGGAAGGTCTCAATCGAATGTGCATCATCTTTCCAGGTGTGCTTTTTCAGGGTCGGGGTCTCCACTGATTGGTTGGTGCCAGGGCTGGAGTCGTTAGTCAATGTAGCTGGTCCTGAGGTAGCCATGGTGTCACTTGTCTGGTTTTGCTGCTTTTCTGTGCCTGGAGCTGAAATACAGCTGGGTCCTAGATGTTACTTTTAGGGAGGGAAAAGTCAGTGGCGGGGAGGAGGTGCGGGGAGGGTGGAGGGGTGGTCTAAATCACATGACCAGCCAAATGAAAATTCAGGGGGTTCAAACTGCATGACCAGCGATGTTAGGAGAGGAAAGGTTACCTGGGGGTGAGGTTCTTTATTTTCCCAGTTTTGCCCCTTGCTAGGCATTGGGGCTTTCCGCCCTGGTGAGTTTCTGTACCTGGCCCATCGTCCTACTGAATTACCAAATCTGGCCATTAAGATCTTTTGTGCTGCCCTAACCGGTTTAGCTCAGTGGATAGAGTGTCGGCCTGCGGACTCAAGGGTCCCAGGTTTGATTCTGGCCAAGGGCATGTACCTTGGTTGCAGGTACATACCCAGTAGGGAGGTTGCAGGAGGCAGCTGATTGATGTTTCTCTCTCATCGATGTTTCTAACTCTCTATCCCTCTCACTTCCTCTCTGTAAAAAATCAATAAAATATATATTTTTTTTAAAAAAAGATCTCTTGTGCTAAAAAGAAATGGTGTGGACAAAAAGGGGCCACATACTAAACTTGACAAGTTCAGGGAGGCCTACGTGGCGACCTTACAAACTCAGAGACCAAATAAACACATAGGATGGTCTGAAATTAAAACTTTTTAAAAGGTGGCCCATGGGGTTGTCATGTCCTAAGGTCAGTCTTTACCTTAAATAAGCCTGTCTGTTGTCTTTTTGCATCTAGGGTAACATACTTGCCTTTGTAAAAAAAAAAAAAAAAGTAATTCCCCCTTTTCCAACCCCTCAAAGCTCCAGAGACTACAAATCCCCTCATGATCATTGTTATGTTACTTGTTGACTGTTAACTATCCTGTGCCCACCTATGTAAAAGAGGTATGGGGCTATCATTTTACTTTTTATCCAATCCCAGAGAGACCCCCACTTTGCTTTCTCCCACCTCCCTAATCTATCACCAATAGATTTCATGTAACCAGCTTATGTCTTCCCTTTTGATTGTAATGTATAAAGCAGGGTGCAGAACTGCCATTTTTTTTGTAATAATTTGTTTTATTTATTTATTTATTTGTTTGTTTAAAGTATTACAAATAGTAGTACATATGTCTCCTTTTTTAATTTCCCATTGACCTTTCCCAGCCTCCCCTACCCCCCAGCACATGCCCTCACCCCTCCCCCCCACCCGCCAGTGTCTTGCGTCCATTGGTTATGCTTATATGCATACATACAAGTCCTTCAGTTGGTCTCTTACCCCTCTCCCCCACTCCAGCCCTACCCAGCCTTCCCGCTGTAGTTTGACAGTCTGTTCGATGCTTCTCTGCCTCTGAATCTATTTTTGAGAACTGCCATTTTCTCAATTTGTTGGTTTTGCTTCCCAGCAATTGTTTGCAGCTTGGCTCACATAGACTCACAAAAATTCTCTACAGGTTTGAACATTTCTTACATTAACAATAGAAAAGTCACAATTTGGACCAAATCTCCAAATCATAAATCAGTTGCCATTGTCCAAGTGAACTCAGCTCTCCCATTAAACATTTTATTTTAAACACGCTCCAAAAGTTTGAGGATTCCAGCTGCTTTGGAACTTGGGAAAGAGAGCAGGAAGCAGACTTACCTACAGCTAGGCTTAAACTTACTCAGCTTCCCAGACACACCCTGACGATGGTTTGCCCTGATGTCCTTTGGGGTGCTATTTGAGGGACTTATTAGCTTAAAACCATTCGTACCATAAGCGTCTATAGACGCAAGTGGCGGACCTTTTTCAATTAAATTCAAAATATCATGGAAGTTAACTGGTTAAATGTTGGGTTAAGCAGTTTACATATATAGAAGTCTCATGAATTTCCTACTCCTCATTTTAAATAATGGTATTTTCTCTCACCTATTCCTAATACCTCTAAGCCTTTGTTAATCCCTGGGCATACTGTTTAGTCAACTAAAGCTTTATCGTAATTGAAGACCCATAATAGAAGCAGGCAACATGACTAAATGCTGTACCCCTAACTTTTAAATCCATCCTAACAAATGAGTTTATGACTTAAATTAGTCATCTTCATGCTGTACTCTGAAGTGGATTTTATGGAGGTGACTCAGGTGAAAGAAAGAATAGAGAATATAGTGGATGCTGTGTTGTGCTACTCAGATCCCCTGAGAACTAAAGGATTTATCCAGAGTGCTGCTATAAGATATCCCCAGCTGTCAGCCCTCTCTGGAACTTGTTTATGGCGGGAGAGCACCCTTGTCCCGATACAGGTCCTGTATGAGCGTGGGATAGAGTCACCGAGGCCTTGCTGTGACTGTTTGTGTAACTCCCGATGCCCAGTCTTGCTTCTTTTGCTTCCTTCACAGGTGCTGATTTCAGAGCACTCCCTAATGAACTTCCTGCATGCTAATATTTTCTCAGATTCAGTCCCAGGGAACTGGACCTACAGCAAAATCATAGCCACTCTGCTTTTACCTTTTATTCTATCTATTATCTATTATCTATCTATCTATCTATCTATCTATCTATCTATCTATCTATCATCTATCTATCTATCTATCTATCTATCTATCTATCTATCATCTAGCTATCATCATCATCTATCTATTTTTGGTTAATTCTCACCCAAGGATATTTTATCATTGATCTTTAAGAGAGTGGAAGACAGAGAGAAACATCGACGTGAGAGAAAAACATCAATTGGAAGCCTCCTGCACACAACCCCACCAGGGCCCAGACCGGGGAGGAGCCTGCAACCGTGGTACATGCCCTTGACCAGAATCAAACCGGGGACCTTTTGGTCCGCAGGCCGACACTCTATCCACTGAGCCAAACTAGCTAGGGCTGCTTTTATCTTTTATATTTATTGGACAGTCATGTAAGATTATAGTTAAAGCAAACTAAACTAAAAACTTTGAAAGTCACTGGTCTCACAATAGGAAAAATTATCATTATGGTTTTGTGCATGGCCAAGTTAATTGTTCCAAATCAACACCTAAGGAGTGTGTTTTTTCTATGCAATTGTTTCTTCTTAGCCTTTTTGTTTGTTGTGTTTACACATATACTCATGTGATTTTTAAAGCTGAAATCCACTAAATAATAAACTCAAGAGTATGTTTAAAAATATTCTTATTGATTTCAGAGAGGAAGGGAGAGAGAGAGATAGAAACATCGATGAGAGAGAATCATTGATTGGCTGCCTCCTGCATGCCCCACACTGGGGATCAAGCCCACAACCTGGGTATGTGCCCTGACTGGGAATCGAACCATGACCTCCTGGTTCATAGGCAGATGCTCAACTATAGAGCCATATCGGCTGGGCACAAGTATTTTTGATATTACATATGTGAAACCAGTAACATATATGACAGAAGCAATCATGACAGACCAGAGAAGGGCCTTCAGTAAGTGGCACATATTCTCAAACATTTTATCCAATCCTACCCGATCTGCGCCCCCACCTCCCAAATTCTTCTCAAGACTTTGTCTTAAACTAACTAGGGCATAAATAAATAAATAAATAAATAAATAAATAAATAAATAAATTGTATATAGAATTCTGTTTTTAAAAAAATTCTCACATTAAAAAATATAGCATCAATTAACTAGCCTCTTGTAATACAGGGGTAAGCCAATAACAAAAGAGGTTAATGGTCTTATGATAAAAGCCACTGTATTCTGTGGTGCTTTGGAAAACTAGCAAGGAAATTTCCAACTCATTAAGTTGCGGAAAGGTTAAATGATAAGATTAGCTTCTGAAGAAATAACTCAGGTTTAATCAGCATATGAATGCCCAAGTTCTGGATGTTAGCAGGCTCCTGAAGAGCTCACTCAATAATTCTAACTCACACAGCAGTCAAGCAGAAATGCAGCTTGGATTCGGAGTTGGATTTCACTTTAGATTTTCCGACTACTCTATTGCCTGGGAAGCCACTCACACATCAGCCTTGGCTTTCTGCTCCAGCAGCAGGGATGAGGAAAATAAATAAGCTCTGTTCACTCTCAAGGTGTGTTGCTGCTCTGGCAATTTCCAAATTTGATGTGGCAGCAATTAACTGATAAGTAGAATATGATATATGCAGTCAGAGAGACTCAGAATGCAGAGTTCTGAAAGAATACTATTTATTAGAGTGCATAACAAAGTACTTTATGTACATGTTATTTAGCATATATTATCTGGGCTACTAACACACTGTAGCAATGAGTTTATTCTGGATACTAAAATAGCAAACTTAGATACTTGAGAATTCCTGCTCACAACTTCTAAGTTTTTTAAAAGATTAAAATTTAGTAGACAAAGGTCTATTAAAAATACTGGAAAAATATGAAATTTAGGTAGCATCAGTGACCATAAAGAATTCTAAATGATCCTTTCTGGAGAAATAGTGATTCCATCAAGTACAACATTGAAAATACATTTTATCAAAGAGAAGGGATTAAGAAGCACAAACTAGCAGCTATAAAAACAGTTATGGGGATGTAAAGTCAATTATATTGTAACTAGAGGCCCAGTGCATGAAAATTCATGCACTGGAGGGGGGTCCCTCAGCCCGGTCTGCCCCCTCTCACAGTCCGGGAGCCCTCAGGGGCGGGAGGCGACCTGTTGATCAGGGGAAGGCAACACCCCATCACACCTCTGCTGCTGCCACTGCCGGCAGCACAAGCCTCTGCCGGACCTGGTTACCTGAGCCTCAGAAGGCCCTGGGCGGCTGGGCAGCCAACATCCGAGGCTTGCCTGCACCTTGGACCAGCCCTGGGAGGCTGGGGGGCTGAGGGGACTGGGGGACTCTGGAGGCAGGTGCGTGCCTGCCACCCCGATGGGGCTGAGGGGACTGGGTGCTGCCATCTTGTGGCTGTGGGCACCACCATCTTTGAGGGTGTGGCAGTCAATTAGCATATTCCCTCCTTATTGGCTGTGGGCGCCACCATTTTTGCGATGGCATGAGGGTCAATTAGCATATTCCCTCTTTATTAGATAGGATAACTATGCATGGTGCCAAATGGGTACCAGATTATTGTTATGGGTTCACTCAGCGAGATAGACCACCGACTCAGAATTTAAATTTAAGAGCCTTTATTAAGCTGGCCAGCTGACTACAGTTACAGCACCCTGCCGAAACAGAGGCTGAACTACAGCCCCGATTTCCATGGCCAGCGACTACAGTTACAGCACCCTGCCGAAGCAGAGGCTGAACTGCAGCCCCGATTTCCATGGCCAGCGACTACAGTTACAGCACCCTGCCGAAGCAGAGGCTGAACTGCAGTGCTGACTGCAAGAGTTACATTTTATTATTAAATTCTGTGGAGGCCCAGAGAAAAATGTGTCTTTCAAATTCTGGGCCCCCCATATGGAGGAAACTCTCTTTATTTATACTTTTTCCAGTCCTTTGTCTCACAAATTTGGAATGAGACTTCCGGGCCTTCTGAGAAAGGCCTGCGTGCTGGGAAGGGGCCATGAGACCATATCTCAAGGCCTGGCCTGATGTCAGTACCTTCCTATCTATGTGTTTTAGGAACAGACAGCACAGCATGACCTGTCTGGCCAAAGCGCCAGATATGCAGCCCAGCACAATTATCAGGGTGATCACTCCATAAGTATGTAAATATCTAGTCCCTATTTTGAACACCTGAAACTAATACAATATTGTATGTTAACTGTAATTGGAAAATTAGAAAATTTTTTTCAAAAGAGTACATTTTCTCCTAAAAAATATAAGTGTATGGT